CCAGCCTTCTGGTGAGCAGTCAAGTGCCTTAGGCACTATGCTACCAGAGCTCCTTAGCCCTAGGCAACCACTAATCTACTCTCTGTCTTTATAGATTTGCTTATTCTGGACATTTCATGTAAATAGAATCAAAGAATATATAGTCTTTTGTATTTGGCTTCTTTCACATAGTGTGTTTTCAGGATTTATCCATGCACGTACTTAGCTTATCCAAGCAAAGTACGAATGCTTCATTCTTTATTATGCTGAATATTCCTCCGTTATATGGATACGTCACATTTGTGTTCATCAGTTGATGATATTTGGGTTGTTTCTACATTGTGGCTATTATGTTATAAAAATTCATATACAAGTTTTTGAGTTGATATATGTTTTCATTTCTCTTGGGTATATACCTAGAATTGAAATTGATCAGTCTGGCAAACAAAAATCACTGCTAAGAAAACCCTTATGGAGCAATTCTCAGTAACACATGGGGTTGCTACTCCAGGGCAATGAGTTTGTTGTGGTAATTCTTTGCAGCATTTTGAGGAACTGGCAAATTGTTTTCCAGAGTGACTACCATTTTATATTCCTACCAGCAAAGAATGATGATTCTAATTTCTCCATGTCCTTGTTAGCCCTTTTTATTGTGTCTTTTATTTTAGTCATGCTAATGGATTAGATTTGCATATTCCTGATGACTAATAATGTTGAGCATCTTTTCTTATGCTGTTGGCAGCATGTGTGTCTCCTTTGGGGGAATACCTGTTCAAATCCTTTGCCCGTTTTTCAATTAGGCTGTCTTTTTTTTTAATGTTATCTTTTTGTTGAGTTTTAAGAGTTCATTATATATTCTGATCAAAGTTCATTATCAGATACTAGATTTGCAAATATTTTCTCCTTTTTTATGAGTCGTCTTTGTATTTTCCTGATGGTATCCTTTGAAGTATAGAAGTTTTTATTGTTGGTAAAGTCCAGTGTATTTTTTGTTTGTTATTTATGCTTTTGATGTAGTATCTGTAAAGATCTTGCTTAACTCAAGGTTATGAAGATTTAGTTACTTCTGTGTTTTCTTCTAAGAGAGTTACAGTTTTAGTTCCTATAGTTCTACTGAAGGAGCTCTGGTGGTGCAGTGGTTAAAGCTTTTGGCACCTAACCAGAAGGTCAGTGATTTGAATCTACGACCTACTGTATGACAGAAAGATGAGGCAGTCTGCTTCTCTAAAGATTTACAGCCTTGGAAACCCTATAGGGCAGGTCTGCTCTGTCCTGTGGGGTCACTATGAGTAGAAATTGACTCGACAGCAATGATTTCGGAGTTCATTTTTGTGAATGGTGTAAGGAAAAGGTCCAGCTTTGTTATTTTGTATGTAGATATCAAGTTCTCCTACCAGCTCATAATTCTTATTCTTGTCTAACATTGTCTTGCTTATTGTATCTTACCCATTAGAATATAAGCTTTTTGAAGGCAAGGAACATATCTGTCAAGCTTATCACTGTTCTAATTAGTATTACTATGTAATAATTATCCCAGAATTTAGCAGCTTAAAACAACCATTTTATTATGCTCATAGATTCTTTTTGTCTAGAATTCAGATAGGGTTCAGTGAGACTTCTTGTTCTGCTCCATGATGTCCCAGGCATCCACAGATATCTTTATCTCTGTCTCTAGCAATTGTTGCTGGGCATTGGTTGGGACTTTGTCTGGAGCTGTTGACTGAGGTACTTCCATGTGGTCTCTCTGTATGGCCTGGGTTTCCTCACAGCATGGTGTCTCAGGATAGTCAGACTACTTACACAGTAGCTCAGGACTCCAAAAGCTACCACGCCAGCAACAAGGCAGAGGCCAATTGCCTTTTCTTACTAGCCTCAGAAGTCAAGCAGTGTCATATCAGCTCATTCTTTTGGTAAAAATGAATCACTAGCCCTCCCAGATTCAAGAGGGTGAGGTGGACTCCACCTCTCCACAGGAGGATATAGAAGAGATATAGGATGGGAGATGTTTTTGCAACCATCTTTGGAAAATATAGTATGCCACGTCATTATATCTTTGGTGTCTGGTACATAATGTTGTTGTTGTTAGATACCATCGAGTTGGCTCTGACTCATAGTAACCCTATGTACAAACAGAACAAAATATTACCCGGTTGTACGCCATGCTCACAATCCTTGTTATACTTGAGCCCATCATTGCAGCCACTGTGTCAAGCCATGTTGTTTAGAGTCTTCCCCTTTTTATGTACCAGTGATATATTATTAGTACATAATAGATGCCAGTAAATATTTGTTGAATGAATACTAAGCATTATGGTAGGTGCTTTCACAAACATTTATCTCTCATAATCTTTATAAGAATCCATTGTGATCGGTTTTATTGACCTCTTAAAATAGATCAGAAGACAGAGAATTACAGCTTCTCCTCTTATCTTCTTTTTCATTGCCTGTATTGGAAGCATTTATATTATCTCTGTGGGCCCTGAGGGACATTAACTGAATATGATTGTTAATGATTTACTTGGCCTCATTCAAGAAGTATTTTTTGAGTTCTTACTATGTTTTTAACTGTTATTTTAGGCTCTTTTAAAACAGTAAACCTGACAGACAATGTCCCTGCCTTTATTGGTTTAGGCAAGGTAGTTTTAGGTTATAATAAATACTGTGAAGGAATTAAATTGAACAGTGTGAGAGAGAGACTCGATAGGTGAGGGAAGGCAGTGTGGACTATATGCTATACTCATCCTGGAGAAAAATTAGGAGTAGAGCTTATCAGGAGGGAAAATTAATGAATGAAAGTGAAAGATACTGTTACTCATATATATAGGAAGTGCATCTTGTAAGAAGTCATGTTTTATATGTATTTAAGAATTGTTTTGTGTATTTTGGTAAAAATAGAAGTTTTGACGTAATTGAATTAGATGAACATGTTTTAGAGACTCAAGAAATGTACAGAAATTATTTTTAAAAAGAGTGTGCAGTTTTGACCTTGTTAATATGAGAGAAAGAACTGGGGTTGATATGGGGTGTTAAGTACAAAGAGAAAAATGGCAAGAGTATGAATTATGGCTAAAAGGCAATGCATTCAACTAGCAAGTTTAAGAGCATGCTGGGCATGGTACCTGCCAATTACTTCTTTTACTAACATGATCCTAACTAGCATCGATAAACCAAAATGTTCTTGAATCTGTGTTACCTTTTCTATCCTTCCAATGTAGTTGATGCATAGAAGGAAGACTTAAGGAGAGCAAGGTAGGGGAATCAATAAAATGCTAAACAGTGCACATTTTTGCCTTGAAGTAATAGGGATGGCAGATATGTAAACTAAGTAGTTAAAGTATACTCAGTATTATAAGAAATACGGGGTACATTCTCTTGGAACTTGGAAATATGGCTGGCTGATTGACTTAGTGGTTTTAGGAAAGGCTTCACATAGGAGATGAGAACTGAGCTGCTGTCTAGGTGAAGAGTGGATGATGGACAAGGCCTGAGAAGAGCATTTCTGGTAAAGGGAGGGGCATATACAAAGGGGCAAGAGGAAGTGCAGAATGTTTCATAAGGCTGAAAAAAGTATGGCTGTGGAGGAGAATGGTAAGAGATACAGCTAGAAAGATATACTGGGGCCAGAACAAGAAGGCTTTTTTATGTCATTTTAGGTATTTTGGAGTTTATCCTGAGATGATGGGGAGTTATGAAAAATTTTTGAACAGAATTATACTCTAGACAATAATATCCAACTGCATTTTCAGTATCACTTAATGACCAATGGATATCTCGAAATTAACATGCCCAAAAACCTAACTCCTGATTTCTTCTGCTTTTTCCTCATCTCAGTTTAGTCCAATCATTCTTGATTTCTTTCTCATATACCCCACCATCAATCTATCAGTAAATCCTGTTTTTCTTCCTTTAAAATAAACCCATTCTGCAGCCAATTAAACTGACCATTCTCCTTCTCTATAGGGGCTAGTGTACAGTGGCTGCGAACAGCAGCCTCCTCAGTGGTGTGCACAGCCTGTTGGTACATATGGGTTGCCCTTAGGGACCTTGGAGACAGCTTTTTCTTCTCTGTCATGCCTCTGGCCTCACTAATCTCTGCTGCCCCTAACTTAGGCTCCAGATGGGTATACAAGGTGCCTTTGGAAACCCCAGGGTACAGTGGCCAGGGTCCACATTGGCCAAGTCATTCATGTCCGTCCTCACCGAGCTTCAAAACAAGGAGCATGTGATCAAGGCCCTCCACAGGACCAAGTTCAAGTTCCCTGGGCGCCAGAAGATCCACATCTCTGAGAAGGGGGCTTTACTAAGTTTAATTCTACTGAGTTTGACGACATGGTGGCTGAGAAGCGCCTCATCCCAGATGGTTATGGAGTGAAATACATCCCCAGTCGTGGCCCCTTGGACAAGTGGTGGGCCCTACATTCATGAAGGGCTTGGGAGCACTGTCCTACATGGCCTGTGCCCACCAATAAATTGAACCTCCTCTGAAGAAAAAAATAGACCCGGAATTTACCCACTACTTACTACCTTCACTGCTATTGCCCTAGTATAAACCACCATCATCTCTAACCTGCATTACTCCAGTAGCCTTCTAACTGATACCCTTGCTTTTTCCTTTGTTCCTCTTACATTCTCCCCACAGCAGTCAGGGATCCTTCTAAAAGGTAGATGAGATCATGATATTCTTTTGCTCTAAAGCCTTCTAACATCTTCCTTTCTTAATCAGATTCCTTACAGTGGCCACAGAGCCTTCATGTCTGGCCTTCTGAGCTTTCCCCAGTCATTCTCCTTCCTTACTCCACACTGGGTTCCATTCTGTCACTTGGATCTTGTTTACATTCTTGCCTCAGAACCTTTGCATTTGCTGTTTTCTATCCCAGGAACATTTTCCCCCAAGATACTCACATTTGTGGTTCCCTCCCTTCCTGCACTTGAGGCCTTCTCTAATCTAGCAAAACTTCTCAGGCGCTCTCTATCCTCCTTATCTAATTTAGTTTGGTAAGGCATCATAACAGCAAAAAAAATTCACTGCCATCTAGTCGATTCCAGCTCATAGTGACCCCCTCCTTGGGTTTCCAAGGAGGTATCTCTACAGAAGTAGATTGCCCAGTTGTCCTTCTGAGGAGTGGCATTATAGATTTGCTTTTTTATTTGCTTATTGTTTGTCTTTTCTAGAATGTAAGTTATAAAAGGGTAGGAACTTTGACTGTTTGCTTACTGCTCTACCCCCAAGCTCTAGAACATAAAGTAGGTACTCAGTAACTTTTTGTTGACTGGATGACTTGATTTGCATTTTAAAAACTTTACTGTGGCAGCTTTCTGGATAGTGAATTGGGGAGGCAGGAGAATTGGCACTTGGATTAAAGTGGTCTAGTCAAGTGATTTGGCAAGGACACTCAGGAATTCCTTGAGAGGGAGAATTGAGAGATTTGGCAACTCACTGGATAGGCAGAAGGGAAGGATAATGACTCCCAGATTTCTGGCCTGCGTGCGTTGAGCAGATGATGTTGATGAGGGTAGAGGCTATAGGGATGAATGAAAAAACCCAAGGAGAATATGTCAGAGGGTGACCAATAGCCCTGGTTTGTTCAGGACTGCCCTGGTTTTAGCACTGAGAAGTCCCATGTCTTACGAATCTCTCAGATCTGAGCAAACCGAGATGGTTGGTCACTCATATCCAGAGTGAAAAGATAGTTGAAGACAGAGCACCAAAGGGAGGAAGTAGATACAGATGTGCAGGAAATGGAGAAGAGGTAGTTTGAGGGGTGGAGGAGACGCAGTAGGGCATGGTTTTTGGAAGCTAAGAGGGGCATGTTTAAAGTAGAGAGTGATCAGTAGAGCAAGTTGAGTTTCTCTTAGAATTTTTGAGTTTCTAGCTGTCTTTGGCAGAAGTATGACATGTTATAAAGGCTCAGTGAACGTTTCTTGAAATAAAAACAGTAAGTCTCTAATTTTTTGGGAGAATGGGTTTTAAACTAAGTTACTGAGCAGAAGGAAGCCAACTTCTGATACATGTGGGATCACAGAAATAAAAATTAAGTTGGCAATGTTTGGAAAAGCAAAATTATTTCTGCATTGAGTGTTTGGCTATCTTAGGTTAATGAATACTCTGAATACTGGGCAGTGTGAGTAAGCTGTTACATTCTGTAGTTCGGAAACAAATTGAATCTGCATGATCATAAAATAGGAATTTCAGACCTGGAAGGGACATTGGTGATCCTCTACACCGTATTCTTAATGTTTTGGAGTAATAAACACTTCTTTGAGAATCTATTGAAAACACTGAACCATCTCTCCCAGCAGAAAAAGCACACACACATTTTGCTTACACTTTTAGGAATCGGGGTGGGGTGGTTAGATATGGGCATGTAGCTCCTAGGTTAAGCAAATCACTAATCTAGTACAGCCTCCCCATGTTATACCTCACTATAGTATCAAAACCAAAACCCACTGCTGTTGAGTCCTCCTAAGAGGCCCAGAAAATTAAAACATGTCCAGGATGACACAGCTAGATAGTGACTGAACTTACTCTTGAGTCAGTGGTCTATCATTATATCACACTGCCACTGTTTCAATGTAGGTTTAATCCCTCTTGAGCTGTTATTAGACTTACTTTCTTTCAAATACTTACTGAGTCACTGTGCTAACTCAGTAAAAATTGACCATAATCCCTATGTCCCATTTGAAGCCCTTCTTTTTAACTCCCTGCCTGTAGACTGATCCCTATGTATCAAAAATTTTGTCATTTACAAATATTATATTAGTCCGTTATTGTAAAAGTCAAGGAAAGGTTTATCTATGGAAGGAAATTTTCTTTGTTGGTTACCAAGGGTAGGAGGGGAGGGGAGGGAATGCTGTTAGATAGATAGAGATAAGTATTGATTTGGGTGAAGAGAAGGGCAGTGTACCAAATGTGAGTGACCAGTATGGTAGCATTGAGGAAGAGAAAGACATAGAGAGGTACATGGCAGGTACAGACAACAAAGATGAACCCTTTTGCACATACAGTACTGCGTTGTCAGTGAAGGCAAACATGGATAGATGGGTGGACAGGCTGAACTATTAGGTATGTCTATGAAGTGGGGAGTGTATCTAAGAACATGTATAGGGTTGGCAGACAATGGTCCTGTAAGTTTACGTGAATGATCAGAATTCCCAGGTGTATAGTAGAGCTGACAAGGGGCAAGGTTGTAGTCACTGCTTGGTCACAGCCAGCTACCCAGAAGGACCAAGTAGTTGAACCTGTGGGCTCAGGACCATAGTCGCAGGGGACATCAAGCTCAATTGGCATAACGTACTATATAAAACATTGTTCTACCTCTTACTTTGGCGAGTAGCGACTGGGATCTTAAAAGCTTGCAAGCTGCCATCTATATGCAACGATGGGTCTCTCCTCGTCCAGAGCAAAGTAGAATGAAGAAAACCAAAAATTCATGGAAACAATTAGTCCTAGCAATTGGTACACCATCCAGATCTGCAGCCTATATGACTATGAGACCAGAAGAACTAGAAGGTGCCCGGCTACTACTGTCATCCGCTTGAAAGGGGGATCTGTGTAGGACATCCTT